AGCATAGCTTGATTAATGATACTCAACATGGATTCACGAGAGGCCGTTCTTGTCTAACCAATTTATTAACTTTTTTCAGTAAAGCTTTTGAGGCTGTTGACCACGATAAGGAATTTGATATTATTTACTTAGATTTTAGTAAGGCTTTTGATAAAGTTCCGCACCAAAGATTGTTAAAGAAAGTGGCAGCTCATGGCATTGGGGGAAAAGTGCTCTCGTGGATCGAATCATGGCTCACTGACAGGAAGCAGAGAGTGTCCATAAATGGGGTTAAATCCGAGTGGGGATCTGTAACAAGTGGCCATTCATCTACAAGTGGCGTTCCACAGGGATCAATGATCTTGATGAGGGAATTACTAGTGAAATGAGCAAATTTGCCGATGACACAAAGAAAGGTAGGATAATTGATTCAAACGTAGATATCAGGGAACTTCACGAGAATTTAGACAAACTCAATACCCGATCAGAAAAGTGGCAGATGCAGTTCAATGTAGATAAATGTAAGGTTCTGAAGCTCGGGAGTGTCCACAACCCTAGCACTTATAAGCTAAATAATATAGAACTTATCCATACAGATCGCGAAAAGGACTTGGGGGTTATGATAAGCAGTAACCTTAAACCAAGACAGCAATGCCTGAGTGTCCGTAATAAGGCAAACAGATTACTTGGATTTATATCAAGAAGTGTAAGCAACAGAAGTTCAGAGGTTATATTACAGCTTTACACATCATTATTACTTACTAAAATTTTATTAAACACCATATTTACTACCAGTCAATTTTACTTTTGTACATTAATCATTATTTTATACTTTTCTTAACCTTTTGTTGCCAAATTTTCAAGTTTGTATATTCAACTTCAACTTTTATATTTTCCTTTGTACCTGTGTACCTGTGTACCTGCGTACCTGTGTACCTGTGTACCTGCGTACCTGTCTACCATCTTACTATCATATTATAACCAAGTCATTGCCATTTTTATTTTTTTATTTTATTATTATTTTGGTACTTTAATTTGTGAATTTTATCTTGTCAATTTAAATTTAGTTATACTCTTGTTCTTGTTAACAACTTATATTAGACCTTAGTGCAATTGCAAGTGAGAGTCTTGTACCCTTTTAATTTGTATTTTTATATTATTAGTTTATACCTAGTTGTATTTTAGTTCATTCTAGTTAAATACATAGACAACACCAAATTCATTATATTATTCCTTAGTGCAATTACAAAAGTGAGTCTGGTGCTATTTGTAATTTGTATTTTTATAGTATTAGTTTATATCTGGTTGTACTTTAGTTCATTCTAGCACAACACATAGACAATATCAACTTCGTTATGTTTATTAGTGACTATACTCTATATGACCAAAGTGATTTAGCTATATGCTTATCCAAACTTTCCACTACTACAGATATCAGCATTAGAACTCACTGCACAATACAGGATATAAATAACCACTATTTAAACCTAAAAGATGAATGATCACGTTGACCCTGATCTAAACTTCCATAATCTAACACACAGTCAAAACTTATTGGAAAGTAATTGCCTTTATTACACAGCATCACAAGCCAGCACTATCCTAAACAGTGCTAAAAGTCTATCAGTTCTTAACTACAACATCAGGTCCTTAAGCAAACACTATGATGACCTCCTGGCACTCCTTGAGTCACTAAAGACACCCTTCTCCTGCATTATTCTTACTGAGACCTGGCTTAGGCAGGACACAATAGATATCTACCCACTACCAGGATACACAGCAATCCACAACTGCAGACCATACCAAGTTGGGGGTGGTATTGCAATCTATTACTCTAACCAACTATTTTGTATTAGCACCACTTGCTTTAGTGATGAATATGGGGAATAAGTTTTTGCTAATTTTACTGTAAAAAAACTTAACACGCCTATAACACTCGGTGCCATTTACCGGATACCCCACACAAACATCCCAAATTTCAGTGAGAATCTAAAGGCACTAATAACAAACAGACAAATGAATAAGCACCACCTTCTCTTAGCTGGAGACTTCAACATCAACCTTGGCTTACTAGATGATCAGACTGTAACTGATTTCATCAACAATATGAACAACACACTTCTCATACCAACAATAACTAAACCAACCAGGCTCACTGAGACAAGTGCAACCATAATAGACCACATATGGACCAATATACTAGCCCCCCTTAAATCAGGGATAATCACAGACAGCACTACTGACCACTACCCAACCTTCCTCTTAACAAGCATTAGTAAGCCACCACTCGAATACAACAAAGTTTCATTTAGACTCCATGACGAGGCCTCAATAAGGAATTTCACAGCAGACCTAGAGACTGTTGACTGGCCTACAGAATTCTCCAATGCCAGTAGTATTGACGATTGGACAGACATTTTTCTAAACAAAATACTTAGACTATACAACAAACATTGTCCTATAAAAACGAAACAGATCACGAATAAACGGCTCGGTTGCCCATGGCTAACCAGCAGCATTCTGAAATCCATTGATAAGAAACACCAATATGAAAAGCAATGTAGACAGGGCTTAATACACAAAGATATTCTTAAACAATATTCATTAGTTCTCACCAAATCAATAAAGAAAACCAAACAACTGTACTACCCTATCACGAGCTTTTACCATCCTATGGAGAGGGAGTATGGACACGGGGGTCGTCCCACAGTTACTAAAAACAACAGACATAGCCCCACTCCACAAAGGGGGCAGTAAAGCAATAGCAAAGAACTACAGACCGATAGCACTAACATCCCATATCATAAAAATCTTTGAAAGGGTCCTAAGAAGCAAGATCACCACCCATCTAGAAACCCATCAATTACACAACCCAGGGCAACATGGGTTTAGAGCAGGTCGCTCCTGTCTGTCTCAACTATTGGATCACTACGACAAGGTCCTAGATGCATTAGAAGACAAAAAGAATGCAGATGTAATATATACAGAATGGTATACAATACCGACAAAATGAGATTAAGACACATGTGCAACATCTGGGTATCTTTATTGTAGACGTTTCGCCATCCAGTGGCTTTATCAATACAAATTCTAGGACATAACTTGAAGACAGTAGAACTATGTACAGAAGACGAGGTAATCAGTCCCTCAACCTAGGAGTAGGTGCGAAGAGCACCATAGTCGTGGAGATTCTGGTGCTCTTCGCACCTACTCCTAGGTTGAGGGACTGATTACCTCGTCTTCTGTACATAGTTCTACTGTCTTCAAGTTATGTCCTAGAATTTGTATTGATAAAGCCACTGGATGGCGAAACGTCTACAATAAAGATACCCAGATGTTGAACATGTGTCTTAATCTCAATATATACAGACTTTGCAAAAGCCTTCGACAAGTGTGACCATGGCGTAATAGCGCACAAAATGCGTGCTAAAGGAATAACAGGAAAAGTTGGTAGATGGATCTATAATTTCCTCACAAACAGAACACAAAGAGTAGTAGTCAACAGAGTAAAGTCTGAGGCGGCTACGGTGAAAAGCTATGTTCCACAAGGCACAGTACTCGCTCCCATCTTGTTTCTCATCCTCATATCTGACAAAGACAAGGATGTCAGCCACAGCACCGTATCTTCCTTTGCAGATGACACCCGAATCTGCATGACAGTGTCTTCCATTGCAGACACTTGCAGATCTTTCAATGGGCTGCAGAAAACAATATGAAGTTCAACGATGAGACATTTCAATTACTCCGATATGGTAAACATGACGAAATTAAAACTTCATCAGAGTACAAAATAAATTCCGGCCAAAAAATAGAGCGAAAAACCAACGTCAAAGACCTGGGAGTGATCATGTCGGAGGATCTCACCTTCAAGGACCATAACATTGTATCAATCGCAGCTGCTAGAAAAATGACAGGATGGATAATGAGAACTTTCAGAACTAGGGATGCAAAGCCCATGATGACACTCTTCAGGTTACTTGTTCTATCTAGGCTGGAATATTGCTGCACATTAACAGCACCTTTTAAGGCAGGTGAAATTGCTGACCTAGAAAATATACAGAGAACATTCACGGCACGCATAACGGAGATAAAACACCTCAGTTACTGGGAGCGCTTGAGGTTCCTAAACCTGTATTCCCTGGAACGCAGGCAGGAGAGATACATGATTATATACACCTGGAAAATCCTAGAGGGACTAGTACCGAACTTGCACACGAAAATCACTCACAACGAAAGCAAAAGACTCGGCAGACGACGCAACATCTCCCCAGTGAAAAACAGGGGTGTCAATAGCATGTTAACAGACAATACAATAAGTGTCAGGGGCCCGAGACTGTTCAACTGCCTCACTGCATACATAAGGGGGATTACCAACAGACCCCTGGCAGTCTTTAAGCTGGCACTGGACAAGCACCTAAAGTCGGTACCTGACCAGCCGGGCTGTGGCTCGTACGTTGGTTTGCGTGCAGCCAGCAGTAACAGCCTGGTTGATCAGGCTCCGATCCACCAGGAGGCCTGGTCACAGACCGGGCTGCGGGGGCGTTGACCCCCGGAACTCTCTCCAGGTAAACTCCAGGTAGACAGAGGAAATAAGACAGTCCCTCGATGACGCACTGACTTTCTTGGGTTATCCTGGCTGGCTAATCCTCCGGGGTTAAAAATCAGAACAAAATCTTATAATAATAATGATAATATAATAATAATAATAATAATAATAATAATAATAATAATAATAATAATAATAATAATAATAATAATAATAATAATTATTATTATTATTATATCTTTATTTACTACAAGTACATTTACAAGGTATACAATCCTAGCTAACATCAATGACATACTATATAGAAAGCCACTTGTTATGCAGAGCATTTCGAGCAAATTATGTCAGTGTCCCAAGATGCGACCCACACCTGTCCACTAACACCCAGGTACCCATTTACTGATGGGTGAACATAGACAACCGGTGTAAAGAAACACCTCCTAATGTTCCTACCCTGGCTGGGAACCGAACCCGGACCCTCGCCGTGAGAGCTTTAGCCACCAGATGGAGGGAGTCAGGGCTGACTACGGCTCATGCTGCAGCAGCCCTTAACTCATCTACTACAACACTGGGTGGAAATACTCATCACTTCTTGCTAGTTTTATTGTTGTTGGAGTAGTTAAATGTTAAATGGGGTTCGTATATAATTAAGCATCATTTAGATACTATAAGTAGGTAACAAGTAATGGTAAATATTTTACAGGTGAAAGATGGCAGAGACAATTTGTGAATTATATTCTGTTGGATGGTGTAGAATAAGTAAGTTTATTACACTATACAAAAGTTTACACTATTTTTTTTTTTGGGGGGGGGTAATAACTCCCCAAAAAGTTCAGCTTGATGGACTTTATCTTCAGTGAGGACCTCAAGTCAAATTCAAAACGAAGTAGACATTTTATTCGGATTATTAAAATAGAAGCTTAGTTACTCATAAATATAACAAGTAACAACCCCAGTGGAAATAAGTCGCTGACTTTTTTGGGGTTAATAAGTAAGTTTATTCAGATACAGGTACACATAAATACAGTCAAAGTATCATACATAGCAGCATATGTGTAGGTTATCCTAGGTAAGTTACATTATGATAGTTGTACTTACGTGTACCTGTGCCTAAATAAACTTGCTTAACATAAATAAGTTACTTTTTCAGCTTATTTTTTGGTTCTCCTAGGTAATTTACACGTTATCTAACTTATGTTAATTATACTTGTGTGCTCGTGACTTAACTTATTAACATAGAATAACCCAAGGAAGCTGCTGTGTAGCAGCGCTATATGACACTTAAAGTTCAGTGCTTAAATTGATTTTAATAATAATGGTACTATGTTTAGCTTATTTAAATTGGGTGACTTTGTAAATGGTCCAAGTCGGACCGAAACGTCGTCGTAAGCTTCTCTCTTCTATGTGCGAGTTATTTGTGTATCGTTCCAGTCACGGTATTGTGCCTTTTTTTATTTAAATTGGGTTCCTCTGATTTTTTCCTAAGATGCCACCCACAGCAGTCACCTAACATCTTATCTTAACATTGGTAAGGAAACATACACAAATTGCGCTTGGATCCAACCCATGACTTTTAAATGTGAACCAAAGCTGATAAATTAGACACATGTGCAACATCTTGGGTATCATCAATCTTTTCAAGATTGATGGACTGATTACATCGACTCCAGGCTGAAGGACTGATTACCTCGAACTCCTTCTGATCTTCACCATTCTTTTTTGTATAGGACTGATGAAGCCACTGTGTGGCAAAATGTTTCCTCAATAAAGATATTCAAATGTTGCACATGTGTCTAATTTATCAGCTTGTTGGGTCTGTGAATCATTTTTTTTACATTAGCTGAGTGCTAGCACTTGGTTAAATAGAACATAAGAATTATTAGCTCCAACTGTAGAACATGTATTGCATTTTTCCAAACCTTAAGATTAATCTACAATGTGTTAGTGTATTAACAAAATTGCTAACAATTTAAAAGTAAATATTTAACGAAAATTGGGAAAATGAAACAATAATTAACAGTACCAGGGAATCCAGGTATTGTAATAAAGGCAAGAAGTGCCAGGTTAAGATTCAGCCACTTCAGGGTGGCCCATGGCCTGGTAGGCAAAGCTCTCACTTCACGTGCTGAGGGTTCGGGTTCGATTCCTGACAAAGGTAAAAACATTGGGTGTGTTTCCTTACATATGTTGTCCCTGTTCACCCATCAGTAAAATGGGTCCCTGGGTGTTAGTCAACTGATGTGGGTCACATCTTGGGACAAAATTGACATAATTTGCCCAAAATGCTCTGCATAACAAGGGGCTTTCTATATAGCAGTATGTCATTGCTGTCAGCTAGACCTGTACACCTTGTACATGTACTTGTAGAAATAAAAATATTGACTACTAAAATGGTATAAAATACCGACAGGTTGTTAGGTAAGACACACATGCAACAGTTAGGTATTATTCAGACTATGGAACAATACTCTTCTCCAGACTGAGGGACTGACCACCTCAAAACTTCAAGGGTGATGGACTGATTACATCATCTTCACGTCTCTTCTATCAACTTTTCTGTACTCGACTGAAGAAGCCTACTGTGTAGGCGAAACGTTTCGAAATAAGGATACCTAACTGTTGCATATGTGTCTTACCTAACAATAAAAATATTAAAATAGGTTGGGGGAAGGGGTTCAAGTATGCACTGTATACGGTGATACACTTCAGAGTACATTGTGCTAGTAGAGTAGGATGAAATAGCATACATAAAGTGTTTGATCACTGGAAATAGGATGTGCAGTACAGTACTGTACAGTATAATAAAACTCAAGAGACAGTGTGTGTGGACTGTGGATGTTATTGGATTGCAATAAGTAGCCATCATTCTCTATCATTGATTTACTCAGTTAACATAAGAACATAAGAAAGGAGGAACACTGCAGGAGGCCTGTTGGCCCGTACTAGGCAGGTCCTTTACAATTCATCCCACTAACAAAACATTTGCCCAACCCAATTTTCAATGCCACCCAAGAAATAAGCTCTGATGTGAAAGTCCTACTCAAATCCAACCCCTCCCACTCATGTACTTATCCAACCTAAATTTGAAACTACCCAAAGTCCTAGCCTCAATAACCCAACTAGGTAGACTGTTCCACTCATCAACTACCCTATTTCCAAACCAATACTTTCCTATGTCCTTTCTAAATCTAAACTTATCTAATTTAAATCCATTACTGCGGGTTCTCTCTTGGAGAGACATCCTCAAGACCTTATTAATATCCCCTTTATTAATACCTATCTTCCACTTATACACTTCGATCAGGTCTCCCCTCATTCTTCGTCTAACAAGTGAATGTAACTTAAGAGTCTTCAATCTTTCTTCATAAGGAAGATTTCTAATGCTATGTATTAATTTAGTCATCCTACGCTGAATGTTTTCTAACGAATTTATGTCCATTCTGTAATATGGAGACCAGAACTGAGCTGCATAATCTAGGTGAGGCCTTACTAATGATGCGTAAAGCTGTAGTATGACCTCTGGACTTCTGTTGCTTACACTTCTTGATATAAATCCCAGTAATCTATTTGCCTTATTATGTACGCTTAGGCATTGCTGTCTTGGTTTAAGGTTGCTGCTCACCATAACCCCCAAGTCCTTTTTGCAATCTGTATGGCTAAGTTCTACATCATTTAACTTATAAGTACTAGGGTTATGGGCACTCCCAAGCTTCAGAACCTTGCATTTATCTACATTGAACTGCATCTGCCACTTTTCTGACCAAGAATAGAGTTTGTTTAAATCCTCCTGAAGTTCAATAACATCTACGTTTGAATCAATTATCCTACCTATCTTTGTGTCATCGGCGAATTTGCTCATATCACTAGTAATTCCCTCATCAAGATCATTGATATATATTATAAACAACAACGGGCCCAAGACTGATCCCTGTGGAATGCCACTTGTTACAGATCCCCACTCGGATTTAACCCCATTTATGGACACTCTCTGCTTCCTGTCAGTGAGCCATGACTCGATCCACGAGAGCACTTTTCCCCCAATGCCATGAGCTGCCACTTTCTTTAACAATCTTTGGTGCGGAACTTTATCAAAAGCCTTACTAAAATCTAAGTAAATAATATCAAATTCTTTATTGTGGTCAACAGCCTCAAAAGCTTTACTGAAGAAAGTTAATAAATTAGTTAGACAAGACCGGCCTCTTGTGAATCCATACTGAGTATCATTAATCAAGCTATGCTTATCGAGATGGCTTCTTATAATCTCAGCTATAATTGACTCTAGTAATTTGCCTACAATTGAGGTCAGGCTTATTGGGCGGTAATTTGACGGTAACGACTTGTCCCCTGTTTTAAAAATAGGAATTACATTAGCCATCTTCCACATATCAGACACTACACCTGTTTGAAGAGATAAATTAAAAATATTAGTTAATGGTTCAAAAGAGTTCCATTTTGCATTCCTTAAGAACCCTTGGAAAAACCTCATCAGGACCCGGCGACTTATTTTGCTTCAGTCTGTCTATCTGCTTCACAACCATTTCACTAGTGACTGTGATGTTACATAATTTATCTTCTTCTAGCCCACTATAAAAATTAATTACTGGAATATTGTTAGTGTCTTCCTGTGTAAAAACTGAGAGAAAATAATTATTAAAAATCGAGCACATTTCATTCTCTTTGTCAGTAAGGTGCCCATAGTTATTTTAAAGGGGACCTATCTTATCTCTAACTTTTGTTCTATAGACCTGGAAAAAACTTTTTGGGTTAGTTTTAGAATCCCTAGCAACTTAATTCATAGTCCCTTTTAGCTTTTCTTATCCCCTTTTTAATGTCCCTCTTAATGTCAATATACTGATTCATAAGATGACCCTCACCTCTTTTGATACGCCTATAAATTCCTTTCTTATGCCCTAGTAGATATTTGAGCCTATTATTCATCCATTTTGGGTCATTTCTATTTGATCTAATTTCTTTATATGGGATAAACGTTCTTTGAGCAGCATGTATAGTGTTCAGAAAACTGTCATATTGATATCTCACTTCGTTACCCAGTCAACAGATGATAAGTGTTCTCTAAGCCATCGTAATCTGCTAAGCGAAAATCTGGGGGCTGTTACTGAGTTATCGCTATTATTGTACTTCCATTCAATGCTAAATGTAATTGATTTGTGGTCGCTAGCACCCAGTTCCTCTGAAATTTCTAAATTATTAACAAGGGATTCATTGTTTGCCATAACTAAGTCAAGCAGGTTATTTCCCCTTGTAGGTTCTGTCACAAACTGCTTCAAAAAACAATCCTGAACTACTTCTAATAAGTCGTATGATTCTAAATTCCCAGTCAAGAAATTCCAATCAATATGACTAAAGTTAAAGTCTCCTAGAATTACTACATTATCGTGCCTTGTGGCCTTAACAATTTCCTCCCACAGTAGTCTCCCTTGGTCCCTATCTAAGTTTGGGGGACGGTATATCACTCCTAAAATCAGTTTTTCATGCCCCTCTGAAAATTCTATCCAAACAGACTCTGTATGTGTTACTTCAGACTTAATACCCGTTTTTATGCAACAGTTCAAGCGGTGCATATTTGTATGTATTGTACTATACTGTAATACTCTACTACAGTATTCTGTGTACAGCATTCCTTAAAATTGGCAAAGGGGAGTATTTAACTAGGCGTGTAATCTTGAGGCATTTACATAAAGAACAAAGGTATACGAGTTTTCAGTAATGTATCGTGCATATCTAAATTTCTCACTTGTAAATTTTATTATATTCAAAACTAAGCATTAAACCACCTCCCTTGTGAAATCTTTTTAAGTATTTTACACATGCATGATAAAGTACAGTACAGAGAAGCTTGTCTCGTTAATAAGGCGCTTGCTTTAGAGTGCTTCGCTAATGTGGCTTTGATTATATTCATGTTTATTTATTATTTTTATTCATATTTATTATTTTTACTTTTGCTTTTTTAAGGGCCTAGTGCTATTGTACACTTAATAAATGACATTAAACATGTTTTTAGGCTTTTATATACACTGGCAAGTGAAAAAGGCAGTGATTCACTTTAAGGCAGTAGTCATATTAGTGGGGTATGCCTGTACATACTGTATAATGAACTTTTTCTCATACAGCTCATTATATATTTCAGATGGATCGTGAACTTGTAACTCAAGGAGCTGAGGGTCGGTTGTATGCTACAGAGTGGCTTGGACATTCAGTTATAGTCAAGCATAGATTTTCCAAGCAGTATCGCCATCCAGACTTGGATATTTACATAACAAATGAACGGATGAAAGCAGAAGCTCGTGCCCTGACAAGGTGTCGTAGTTATGGTATTAAAACTCCTGCTGTATATGATGTTGATTTCAACAAAAGTGAAATTGTTCTTGAGAAATTCACTGATAGTGTAACAATCAGAAATTTTATATATGAAACTGTGAAAAATAAGCTTACAATGGACAGTCCAGTTATGTTGAACATGGCAGAGAGAATTGGTAAACTCTTGGTTAAAATGCATTCTAATAATATTATCCATGGAGATCTGACAACATCAAATATGTTATTGGTTCCTCCATATGACTTATCAGATATAATTCTTATTGACTTTGGTCTTAGCTCAGTTGATGAACGTGCAGAGGACAAGGCAGTTGATCTGTATGTGTTAGAGCGAGCTATATTGAGCACTCATCCCAATACTGAACATTTTGTTGCTCATTTGTTGGCCACCTATGAAAACACAGGTGGTGAATCTGCAAGAGATGTGATAAAACGTCTGAATGAAGTTCGACTTCGTGGAAGGAAGAAACTGTGCTTTGGGTGATTTATGTTCAAAGTGCCATTCTAGGAGACCATAGGAAGTTTTACTGGGATAAAAAAAAATGGTATCAGCACCTTTTGTATCATTTTCTGCATGATCCACTCAGGTTAAGCATTTATTTTTTAATGTAATAATACATACTATAATAAAACTATTTAAACATCCACCTTAACATTGTATTAATAAACCTTACATGAGATATAAAGAAAAGTTGCCTTACAGTCCCTAGTGTTTTATTTACAGTTTGTGAAACTGAAAAAAAAAAACTTGAAAAGCTAATCTGGAATCAGATAGTGCAAAGTTTTGCTGACATTTACTGGTTTATAAATCATATTGTTTCCAAACTCCACTCCCAATTGCAGTGCTGTATGACCCTTGTGGGTTTAGCACTTAGTTTTAATTATAATAATAATTCACTCCCAGCTAACATAAAGTTTTAAAACTCACATTAAAAATCCACTTCATAGTTATATTTATGGGCGTATCATTATCCTCAGTGCTAAACCTGTAGGGATCATAAATTGCCTGGTGAATGGAAAGTACTGTAATTAGATTTGGTCTGTGGAATTGGGTTTCTCCTTTTCCTTGGATCATAAGGCTGTATAGTCCTTGTGGCTTAGCACTTCTTTTTGATTATAATAATAATAATTGGATCATAAGCACTTCAATGTCAAGGCATCCACCCCTGCCCCACTTTCCTTCCTTGAAGTGGTGTGGGAAAATATGGTATTGCCAACTATGATGAGAGGGCTCTGAACTGAGAAATTGGTCTTATTTTTCTCTTTTCACTTCCTCAAGGTGAAATGATGTTTTTTTTTCCAAATTTTTCTTTGCATTCCTTCACTATACTGCAGTCTTGACAGAAACTGATTTACTGCACAAACTGATGATGCATCTAGCAATCCTCACAGCCCTTTCTACCTCAATCTCTTGTTACCCTCTACCCCTATATATATTCCACTGCCCTGCTGCACTCCATAACCTAATAATAACCCTCTCCCTCTTGCTACCCAATACCCCTGCACTATTCCCTGCCCTGCTGTGCTGTATGACCCTTGTAGGTTTAGTACTTCTTGTTTTATTATAATATACTGCAATCTACATTTATCTGAACAAACAGTACAGTCTGCAGCTTGTATGTCAACTTTGTGCCTTTTGTCTGTAATTCCTAACCTTTGCTTTATAATCCTTCCACTTCCTCTACAGACAGAGCCATTACATCTCTTCACCTCAGTAATGCTTAGAGGTATGTTTGCCATTTAGACCTCATGGATACATTTTTAAAAAATGTTTTTCCCTAAATGGTCTACCCCCTGCATTTGCATATTTGCTTGAAGCAATCAGAAGGGGCCTACTTACTTTTACAAAAAATTCTTAGCTTAAAAACAAGAGCAAGCACACCCCGGGGGGGAAATTAAATTTCAATTAAAAGGGGGGGGAAATTTATTTCTTTGGATCAAAATCCACCATCATCACTTTGGAACGCAAGGGGAAAAAAACCTTTGTCCTTCATGTATCAATCTTTTGCACACAATCTTTTAAAAAACACAAACTGCCTCTTACAGAAAATACTGTATCTAAGCCCTGAGCATTCAAAAACCTCTTTTACTCCTTTATATTTACACAATGCATCAAGCCCATATGGGCCTTAAAGTGTTATAAGGCTGAAGGAAACTATTGGCAGAGGTGGTAGTGCGATAAACTAACAAGCTAACAAGGAAAATCGAAGTGTGTAAAAATCTGAGAAAAAAAAAATGCTGTCAAAGGGCTTTCTATATAGAAAGTAGGCAAAGTAAGAGCTCCCAGACCAGAAATTGCATTTTGAAGTAAATGGTACAATCAAAAAGGGTTTGAACAGCAATGAAATTTTCATGAGGCGGTGGGCATTTCTCAATGTGGTAGCTGAGCAAGTTATGTGGCCAATGTGCAACTGCAAGATTTATATTTAGGGGTGTGTGCTAAATACATAGGGGCCATACTACACCTGGTAAATGGCAGGCACTGAGGTTTGATCTTAGCAGTGGTGCAAGGACCGTTTCCCCAGTGAGATCAACGAAGTCAACTATCCCTCTCCCTTGAACCTTTCCTTGGATGATTCCCTATCCCTCCTTCCTTCACATCCCATTTATACACCTTAGGTGCATGTACAACTTGATGGTATTATAAAAAAGAAGCGCTAAACCACAAGGGCTATACAGTGCTGCAGGGCATGGAAGGATGTGAGGGTATTGGGTAGCAAAAGGGAGAGGGACGATTAGTGGGTTATGGAGTACAGCTTGGCAGTGGATAGTGTAGGGGTAGAGGGTAGCAAGAGATTGAGGTAGAAAGGGTTGTGGAGAGTGCTACAGGTATCATCAGAGTTTGTGGAGTAAATCAGTTGTCCAGAAAGTTAATGAGAGAGTCCGGATTATAGGAGGGTCCATCAGTAAAAAGGGAAGGTTAAGAAAGATTAATTATTATTATTATTATTATTATTAGGTAGTAGGTTGGTAGACAGCAACCACCCAGGGAGGTACTACCGTCCTGCCAAGTGAGTGTAAAACGAAAGCCTGTAATTGTTTTACATGATGGTAGGATTGCTGGTGTCTTTTGTCTGTCTCATAAATATGCAAGATTACAGGTACGTCTTGCTACTTCTACTTACACTTAGGTCACACTACACATACATGTACACGTTTATTTATACACACTCATCTGATTTTTTCTTTGATTTTATCTTAATAGTTCTTGCCCTTATTACTTTTCCTTTTATACCATGGGAAGTGGAAAAAGAATCTTTCCTCCGTACCCATGCGTGTTGTAAAAGTCAACTAAAATGCCGGAACAATGGGCTAGTAACCCCTTTTCCTGTAAAGATTACTAAAAAGAATAAGAAGAAGAAAATTGTCAAAGTGGAAGTCTGAATGTGCGTGGATGTTGTGCAAATGAAAAAAAGAGATGATTGTGGATGTTATGAATGAGAAGAAACTGAATGTCCTGGCTTTAAGTGAAACAAAGCTGAAGGGGTGGGATTTTTCAATGGAGAGGAATAAATGGGTTTAGGTCAGGGTTTCAGAGTTAGAGCTAAAGGAGTAGCAATAAGTTGAAGGATAAGCTATGGCAGGAAAAGAGGGACTAAAAATGTATAAATTCAAGGATTATGTGGATAAAAATAAAGTTTGGGATGTGAAAAGTGGGTTATAGTAAGCTGTATGCACCGGGAGAAAGAGAAGTGTAGAGAAGAGAGAGATTCTGGGAAATGTTGAGTGAATGCGTGGGGAGTTTTGAATCAAGTGTGAGAGTAATGGTGGTTGGGATTTCAATGCTAAAGTGGGTAAAAAGGGTTTGGAGGGAGTATAGGTAATTTGGGGTGCCAGGGGTAAATGTAAATGGGGCCTTAATTGAGCTATTGTAGAAAGAAATTTGGTAATAAGTAATACATATTTTATGAAAAAGGGGATAAATAAATATACAAGGTATGATGTAGCACGTAATGAAAGAAAGTTTTGTTAGATTATGTATTGGGGGATAAAAGGTTGATGGGTAGGCTCCAGGATGTACATTTTTTATAGAGGGGAACTGATATATCGGATCATTAATTTAGTTGTAGCTACATTTTAGAGTAAGAGGTAGAGGGGAAAAGGGGAAGGTGGCAACAAGTAAGAGGGAGGTGAAAGTGTATAAACTAAGGGGGGAGGAAGTTCGGCGAGATATAAGCGACCTTTTGGGCAGAAAGGTGGGCAAGTGCAAAGATGAGTATGGGGGGGTTGAAGAGGGTTGGAATAGTTTTAAAAATGCAGTATTAGAATGGGGGCAGAAGTTTGTGGTTATAGGAGGGTGGGGGCAGGGGGAAAGAGGAGTGAATTGGGAATGATGAAGTAAAGGTGTGATAAAAGAAAAAAAGGTAGCTTACGAGAGGTTTTACAAAGCAGAAGTGTTATAAGAAGAGCAGAGTATATGGAAGTAAAAGAAAGGTGAAGAGAGTGGGGAGAGAGTGCAAAAGGAAGAATGAAAGAGTGGGGGAGGCACTGTCAAGAAAATTTTAATGAAAATAAGAAAAAATTTTGGGGTGAGTTAAACAAGTTAGAAAGCCTAGGGAAAGTATGGATTTGTCATTAAAAACAAGTAGGGGAGTTAGTAGATGGGGAGAGGGGGGTATTAGTAGATGGCGAGAAATTTTGAGGAACTTTAAATGTTAAGGAAGAAAGGGAGGCGGGAATTTCATGCACTGGCCAGGGAGGTATACCATCTTTTTGGAGTGAAGAAGAGCAGAATGTAATTTTGGGGAGGGACGTGAGGCATTACGTAGAATGAAGGGGGGAAAGCACTGGAACTGAGGGATCATGACAGAAATGTTAAAAGCAGGGGGATATAGTGTTGGAGTGGGTTTGGGGACTTTTGTTTAATAAATGTATGAAAGGGGAAGGTACCTAGGGATTGGGGGAGAGCATGTATAGTCCCCTTTTTATAAAGGGAAAGGGACAAAAGAGATTGTAAAATTATAAGGAATAAGTTTACTGAGTATACCAGGAAAAGTATACGGTAGGGTTATAATTGAAAGAATTAGAGGGAAGACAGAATGTAGAATTGCGGACGAGCAAGGAGGTTTTAGAGTGGTAAGGGGGTGTGTAGAAACAAGTGTTTACATTGAAGCATATATGTGAACAGTATTTAGATAAAGGTAGGGAAGTTTTATTGCATTTATGGATTTAGAAAAGGCATATGATAGAGTGGATAGAGGAGCAATGTGGCAGAAAGTTGCAAGTATATGAATAGGTGGGAAGTTCCCAAATGCTGTAAAGAGCTTTATGAGGATAGTGAGGCTCAGGTTAGGGTGTGTAGAAGAGAGGGAGAATACTTCCCGGTAAAAGTAGGTCTTAGACAGGGATGTGTAAAGTCACCATGGTTTTTTAATATATTTATAGATGGGGTTGTAAAAGAAGTAAATGCTAGGGTGTTCGGGAGAGGGGTGGGATTAAATTATGGGGAATCAAATTCAAATGGGGAAATTTACACAGTTACTTTGCTGATGATACTGTGCTTATGGGAGATTCTAAAGAAAAATTGCAAAGGTTAGTGGATGAGTTTGAGAATGTTTTTAAAGGGAGAAAGTTGAAAGTGAACATAGAAAAGAGTAAGGTGATGAGGGTATCAAATGAAATTTTGATAAAGAAAAATTGGATATCAAATTGGGGAGGAGTATGGAAGAAGTGAATGTTTTCAGATACTTTGGGGGTTGACGTGTCGGCGGATGGATTTTTGAAGGATGAGGTTAATCATAGAATTGATGAGGGAAAAAAGGTGAGTGTGCGTTGAGTATATGTGGAGTCAAAAAACGTATCTATGGAGGGAAAGAAGGGAATGTATGAAAGTATAGTAGTACCAAAACCTTATATGGATGTGAAGCTTGGGGGGTAAATGCAGCAGCGAGGAGACGGTTGAGGCAGTGAGATGTCCCCGTCTAAGGGCAATGTGTGGTGTAAATATTATGCAGAAAATTCGGAGTGTGGAAATTAGGAGAAGGTGTGGATTAATAAAGCATTAGTCAGAGGGCAGAAGAGGGTTGTTGAGGGGGTTTGGGCATTTAGAGAATGGATCAAAGTAGAATGACATGGAAAGCTATAAATCTATAGGGAAGAAAGAGGGGTAGGGTCGTCCTCGAAAGGGTTGGAAAGAGGGGGTAAAGGAGGTTTTGTGGGGTGAGGGCTTGGACTTCCAGCAAGCGTGCATGAGCGTGTTAGATAGGAGTGAATGGAGACAAATGATACTTGGGACCTACGATCTGTTGGAGTGTGAGCAGGGTAATATTTAGTGAAGGGATTCAGGGAAACCGGTTATTTTCATATAGTCGGATTTGAGTCCTGGAAATGGGAAGTAACAATGCCTGCACTTTAAAGGGGGGGTTTTGGGGATATTGGCATTTTGGAGGATATGTTGTGTATCTCTATACGTATATGCTTCTAAACTGTTATATTCTGAGCACCTCTGCAAAAGCAGTGATAATGTGCGAGTGTGGTGAAAGTGTTGAATGATGATGAAAGTATTTTCTTTTTGGGGATTTTTTCTTTTTTTTGGGTCACCCTGCCTCGGTGGGAGACGACCGACTTGTTGGGAAAAAAAAAAAAAAAATTATTATAATCAAGGGGGAAGAGCTAAACCCGGAGGATTATACAGCGCCTGGGGGGGGGATGTGGAAGGCATTCAGGCTTAATTCAGGGAACTGGAGCACAGATCCAATTCCCTAAATCAAGAGCCCCTCACCAACATCAAGGAACCTTCCTTGAGGGGAGGTTAAGAAAGAGCAGCAGAGCGGAGACGATGACGGAGGTAAATTCGGCGTGCTTGTAGATAGTGGGCAGTCCAACAGAATGTGGCTAACAGATACTGGAATCTGACAATTCTCACAGAGAGGAACAGGGCACCTCTCCATGAGATACCTGTGAATAAGACGAGTATGGGCGATGAGAAGACAGGAGAGAGTAGTCTCCCAACCTCGACACTGATGACAAGAAGGCGGCCAGTAACCTATACTCGGTTTAATAGAATGAAGTTTGTTATAGAGCAGATCAGACCAACGTTGTTACCAATGGGTGCGAGGTGGGTAGCAATTGCAGCAAAATAGTCCGTGAATGGAACACCTCAATGAAACTGGGAGGTCATGTACTGCTGACCATACAGCAGTGTCTGCCTATTCATTGCCCTGTACGTCAACAAGACCAGGGACCCAACAAAAAACAATATCTTTGTGCTTAGTAGAGATACGACATAACCCAAGTTGGATATGGAGAACAACTTAATGGTAAAAATGTGTTGCAAGGGTGTACAGATTCTGTTATACTAATTGAACTGTAAGGCTGGTAAATCAATAAGGCAAGTATTTAATTTACATATATTTACATTCCATGATTCTAAGTTACACCTATGTACATTCTTAATTTTTAAACTTTAATACAGGCCATACTATCAGAATAACTAATTTCTGAAAACTTAAGAAGCAAGTTTTCAAGCAGATATACTGATAGATCACAATTTATCACAAATATATATTTTCAATACATCTGATAATAAGAATTGTACTCTTCTTGTGATGTTTCTGCCCTCAAATTTAATTAATTATTGTAAGCTAAAAATTAAATATATTGTAAGTAGTCTGATCTCAAGAAAGATTTAATACACAAGAATGTACAGAAATGATGATAGAGCATATACAATAAAAATAAATACTATAAAATAAATCAAAATATTCACACAAATTTTAGAGTTCAGTTACAAATTCCTATACTTAATTACTAATAATTTTGTACACACAAGTTGCAGAAGAACTTTGGCATTCACTGAATATTACAAAATTTGCTTACTATTTTTGAAACAAAACACTGATCTAGAATTACCTACTAAATTGCAATTTAAATCCTTTAAAATATTAAACTTTTAATTGGCATTCATACAATCAAAATATGCTTTATAGGGTATATTCTTTACTTTTATCTCAAATATATATTTTTCAAATTTGATACCTAATATTGTTTAGCTGTGAAATTATATAAAAAATGTGACACAGCTTATGTATTTTAAAAGTTGCTACAACTGTTTTGTTGCCATCTCTGAGCAAACATATTTTGTTTAAAAAAAAAAAAAAGACATTTCCACCCACATTACTAAATTTAAAATGAGAATTTTTTGTTTTTCTTTTTGAGTCACCCTGCCTTGGTGGGATGTGGCCGGTTCGTCAAGAGAAGAGAAAAAAATCCACCCACAATGATTAACATTAATGGAAAGATACTTAAGTTTCAAAAGAAAAAAAAAAAACTTTCAATAGAGGATTTATTGCCATAAACAAGTCAGCTGAATTAGTAATAAAAAAAAAAAAAAAAAAAAAAAATGTATATGTATGTATGTATCTACATATACTATATATACATACACTGTCTAGTATAAATTTTACTTAAATATTCCCATTTTGATAAATACTGTCAAAAGTGACTTTTGGTTATAAAATTAGGCAGCTGCATCATAAACTCATGCAAAATTTAATTGTAAATTAACAAATTTTGTTTAAATTGCAGCCACCATGTTATATACAATAAATACAAGCTTTTCAACTGATAGCTTACTTATGACCTTCCATATATAAAAATATTACCTCTTTAAAACCAAGAAAAATATGAACAATTAAGACAAGTAATTACAGTCTCCAAGCTAAAGTTATTTGCAATAACCATGCAATAACTCCTTACAGTAAGGTTTGCTCCTTTACAAACACTTATACCAGAACTTGTACTTTTACCTACCAAATGTGACAAACCAGTGAATTCTAATCCAATCATTTCTGCAAGGCACTCCCTTTTAATTCCTCTCACACATGAGGAACTATAAATCTTGCCCAATCCCAAACACTGCAGTTCAACCTAATTTCTGCTGGGGCATTTGTCTGTATTCAGATACAGTAAAAAGGTGTAATAATTACAAATTTTCTGAACACACTGCACGTTACTTGAATTCTACACTCAATATAAAAAGAATTATATTCGGATGTTACTAAGAATACCTAGTAACAATTAGCTTAAAATAGGCAACAGTTTTAGCACCTCAAAGAACTGGACACAAACTCACATCTATCTCATGAGATCAGTCAGAATGTGGAACAAGTGTGTATACTGCAAGTTAAAAAATAAAAAAATTTTCCTTCCAGTCTGTGATAATTATTCTGGGGTTTACGAAAATACTTTCATCTATATTTCATTTCTTTGGGGTAGAAGACAATTTAGCTGGGGTTTTATGTATCTTTTCCTGACTTCTGGTTACCATAGGTTTGTGACTCCACGTGTGAGAGCGTGTGTGAACCCTAGCAGATTTTGGTGAAGGTTCCTCTGAGGATTCGGTTTCAATATCTGAAGTTCGCTTACGTTTAGATGTCGGCACCTTTGGAGGACCTTGGCTTACCGTTTCTGTGGTGCCACGATTTACAGATTTCAACACACGATTAGATGAATCCATTGTAGAATTACTTAAAGTTTGCCTACCCTTGGTACTTGATCCCGCCTTTTCGTCTGTACACTGTTCTTTCCACTCATTGTTATTGTTTGACGCAACAGGGTTTTGCTCTTTATTCTCAATCTCCATTCCTAATTTTACAAGAATATTAGATCTTGTTCTTTTGTTATCACTTTTTTCTGTAGAAACAGTTACTGTCGAAATTTTTAGCCTACCATTTATTCCCCTGTGTTTCTTCCCTCTACCATCTGTTCCTGGACTTAGCGTACTGCTCGACACAACTGGTATCTGTATATCATCTTTCGCAAGTCTAGATTCTGTCCTGCCATCAGGTTTGTTCTCTGGTACGATTTCTGACCTGTTCTCAGAGTTTCCTTCCAGCTTGCTTTCGGATCGGCTTTCTGGTCTGTTCTCTGATCTACTGTCTGGTCTATTTACTGACTCATTTTCAGACATGTTATCGATATCACAAGGAGATGATGCTGGTAAATTCTGAGTAGTTGGTGGTAATACCCTAGAAGGTGGATTATGTGCATTATGGCTAGACAAATTGTCACCTGAAGTACTAGGAATTGAATGTATACCAGCACAACCACATTCTGAGCAACCCACTTTAGTTGTTTCAGTATTAATCACTGTATGATTATTATCACCCTCTCTGTTATGATCCCCACAACCCACACTACCACCATTCTGGTAACTATCCGTACACTCTTGGAAACTCTCTTGTACACCATGCTGGTTAACTTGTTGACTAGTCTGCCATTTTTCTGGGAGACGTTCTTTTATGCGAAGAACACCTCTGCTACCTTCAAGTCGTGTTGTTTGGCTTTGGTTGTACATGTGCACTTGCACTAGTGCATCTCTGTTCCTGTCCTCTTCGGTTGATGGTAGTCTAGTGGTAGGTTTAGGGGGAGACCCTTTCTTCATTCCCTTCTGTTGTAGCAACACCTGAAAAAAAAAATTACTACAGTAACTTCTCTCAAGTTTGAGGTTAAATTCAAAAAGCTTTTAAAACTTTGAAGCATGCATTACATCAAGAGTGAATATAATGAAATGGTCCAGATAGGCAGAAAAAAAGAGAAAAGGGTCATAAGCAAGCAATTTTTACATTATTATAGCAAATCCCAGACAAATTTCAAGTACAAGAGAATGTATTAGTATGGTAGGAAAATAATAATGACCTTCATTAGACAAATTAGAATAGAAATTCTAGCTAATAACTTCCTGGCATGAGATACACAGAAGGAAGTGTTGAATAAACCCAGTGAAAGGCAGGGGTGCCACTGACACAATCTGAAAAAACTTACTATCCACAACTGATAACTCCTTAACCCTCCACCAGCAGACACAGTATAAAAAATATTATAACAACCAAGACAGGCATGAGAGGCCTGGTAAAACTACATATGAGAGAACTGAAGTTCACAATGCCAGTGAACTTCAATTCTTTTGAATTATTTTTTTTATCAATTCCTGATGAAAATTTTCAATGTGTATTTATCACTTCCTAGGTAGTAGGTTGGTAGACAGCAACCACCCAGGGAGGTACTACCGTCCTGCCAAGTGAGTGTAAAACGAAAGCCTATAATTGTTTTACATGATGGAAGGATTGCTGGTGTCCTTTTTTCCGTCTCATGAACATGCAAGATTTCAGGTACGTCTTGCTACCTCTACTTACACTTAGGTCACACTACACATACATGTACAAGCAGATATATACACACACCCCTCTGGGTTTTCTTCTATTTTCTTTCTAGTTCTTATTTTTGTTTATTTCCTCTTATCTCCATGGGAAAGTGGAACAGAATTCTTCCTCCGTAAGCCATGTGAGTTGTAAGAGGCGACTAAAATGCCGGGAGCAAGAGGCCAGTAACCTCTTCTCCTGTATATATTACTAAATGTAAAAGGAGAAACTTTCATTTTTCCTTTTGAGCCACCCCGCCTCAGTGGGATACGGCCAGTGTGTTGAAAGAAAGAAAGATCACTTCAAGAACCTTATCACTGATGAGTCTTTCATACTTTTCAAGGGTAGACTGAGGTTCAAGCAGTATATACCAAGCAAAAAAAAAATGCAACAAACTAATTAATGATCACTTTTGTTTGTCACTAGGTAAATAATACAGAAATACGAGGTCACAACACCTGCAGTGCACCTGTGCCCCCGAGCTGATCACCAATTACCCTTTCATTTAAGGAATGGCAATCACTTTCAGACAACAAATCCTGCTACAGACAAGAAGAAATCGATTCATAAGAGATGTTATGTCCGTGCACACACAAGGCAACCAGCAAAGTGCAGAGACACTCGTTTTATTTATGAGGAGTGTAAAACGCTGCTGTGTACGAGCCGTGCTTCAAGGAGTTCCAGACTGCAAGTTCTAGGAACATGACCAGTGCCTGTACATATATAAATATTAGAATGGTAGTAATGTGAAGCATCTGGACCTCTTTGTTTATGAGGTTATTAGAGTGGGTAATGGGTTGCATACAACAGGTGGATACAAGTACATGTATGTACACTGTGCATTACAGGGATCTCGTGGGCCACAAAACTTGTTGGAAAATATAAAAAATTAGATTTTTTTTGTTTTTTAAGAAAAATGTGTAGCATGCAGCAGTCAACAACGTTGCTATCGGCGGACGAGTACAAAAAGGAATCGCATGTCTCACCCTCAGCAGACAGAGGCTCAAACCTCCACCATGTCTTGCACCAAGTGACCCATATGGGTTTAACACCAAATACGAATTAAAAACACACTGCTATATCTCGGTATGTACTCATGGATTTTTTTTTTCAATACCACCAGGAAAATATACTTTTAATCTATAATTTTGGGTACTGAGAGCAATTTTAATTTCAGGGGTCTGGATAGTGAAATGGTTAAAATTACATATGTACTATAATGGTGCACAGCAAATGATTAAAAAGGAACAATGTGCAAGACACAGGCCAAATTATTTTTTTTTATTTTTTTTTTTATCATCATACTGGCCGATTCCCACCAAGGCAGGGTGGCCCGAAAAAGAAAAACTTTCACCATCATTCACTCCATCACTGTCTTGCCAGAAGGGTGCTTTACACTACAGTTTTTAAACTGCAACATTAACACCCCTCCTTCAGAGTGCAGGCACTGTACTTCCCATCTCCAGGACTCAAGTCCGGCCTGCCGGTTTCCCTGAACCCCTTCATAAATGTTACTTTGCTCACACTCCAACAGCACGTCAAGTATTAAAAACCATTCGTCTCCATTCACTCCTATCAAACACGCTCACGCACGTCTGCTGGAAGTCCAAGCCCCCTCGCACACAAAACCTCCTTTACCCCCTCCCTCCAACCTTTCCTAGGCCGACCCCTACCCCGCCTTCCTTCCACTACAGACTGATACACTCTTGAAGTCATTCTGTTTCGCTCCATTCTCTCTACATGTCCGAACCACCTCAACAACCCTTCCTCAGCCCTCTGGACAACAGTTTTGGTAATCCTGCACCTCCTCCTAACTTCCAAACTACGAATTCTCTGCATTATATTCACACCACACATTGCCCTCAGACATGACATCTCCACTGCCTCCAGCCTTCTCCTCACTGCAACATTCATCACCCATGCTTCACACCCATATAAGAGTGTTGGTAAAACTATACTCTCATACATTCCCCTCTTTGCCTCCAAGGACAAAGTTCTTTGTCTCCACAGACTCCTAAGTGCACCACTCACCCTTTTCCCCTCATCAATTCTATGATTCACCTCATCCTTCATAGACCCATCCGCTGACACGTCCACTCCCAAATATCTGAATACATTCACCTCCTCCATACTCTCTCCCTCCAATCTGATATCCAATCTTTCATCACCTAATATTTTTGTTATCCTCATAACCTTACTCTTTCCTGTATTCACTTTTAATTTTCTTCTTTTGCACACCCTACCAAATTCATCCACCAATCTCTGCAACTTCTCTTCAGAATCTCCCAAGAGCACAGTGTCATCAGCAAAGAGCAACTGTGACAACTCCCACTTTATGTGTGATTCCTTATCTTTTAACTCCACGCCTCTTGTCAAGACCCTCGCATTTACTTCTCTTACAACCCCATCTATAAATATATTAAACAACCACGGTGACATCACACATCCCTATCTAAGGCCTACTTTTACTGGGAAATAATTTCCCTCTTTCCTATGTACTCTAACTTGAGCCTCACTATTTTATTACCTCTACTAAAACAACATACCTCTCTCTTCGGTCGTCCTGGTGGATCTAGGAAAACTGTAACAGCACTAGTGTTGTCAGCACGAAGGTTAAGCTTGATATAACGACCAAGGGCTCCCAACACAACAGATCGAGATGGATTCACCCACAGCCGTTGCTACAATACATTTAAATTAGGTTTAGTACATACATTAATACACAGACATATATAGCCTCTCCTCACTTAACAATTTACTCGTTTACCGACAATTCGGACTTATGACGGGCTCTCTGAACAGTAAGCATACCTCTATTCTGTTTATTACAATATACAGTACACTACTGTATAAACATTTAAAAACATACCAAAAATATTATAATGGTGCAATGGTGACAAAAACAATATCAAAGATGGTTGATACAAACCCACTACCCTATAGCATGCTCCTCACTTAGTGATGAATTCATTTACTGACGTGGTCTGGGAACAGAACTCCGTTGTTAAGTGAGGAGATACTGTACAGTAAACTCACTCAAAAAGTGAAAGATATGCTCCTGAATATCAGAGCCCTGTGAAAATTAGCGCTGTGTAAAATGAAGAACGTGTGGGAATAACAGGGTTACTTTTCAGTCACTAAATTTGCCAAAAAACTTTCCTTAACTCTTTCTTTCACTGTCTCATCTGTAGATCTATGTTACTGACATCAGGATCGCTTACAAAGACTTATGTTTTGAGCTCAGCTTCCTCAGGTAAACTGAGCAGTAAATTTTGGCTAAGACACAAGAGAATGGGTCTGTGCAGCAAGCATGCACAGTATATAAAAAAAAAATTCCTACCCCATGCAGTGCATGATGATAAAAGCAAAAATCTTAACCATGTTTTTGGTTTGAAATAGCAAATCTGAGGCATTTTCTAGGGTGGTGTTTATGGTTTTACTGGCTGTTTCTTGGTATTGATAGAATGGAAGATATGCTACTAAAATAGAGATGATTTTGGTTGGTTTCAGAAATAGCTTGAAATCGGACTTGAGTCCTGGAAATGGGAAGTACAATGCCTGCACTTTAAAGGAGGGGTTTGGGATATTGGCAGTTTGGAGGGATATGTTGTGTATCTTTATATGTGTATGCTTCTAAACTGTTGTATTCTGAGCACCTCTGCAAAAACAGTGATAATGTGCGAGTGTGGTGAAAGTGTTGAATGATGATGAAAGTATTTTCTTTTTGGGGATTTTCTTTCTTTTTTTTGGGTCACCCTGCCTCAGTGGGAGACGGCCGACTTGTTGGAAAAAAAAAAAAAAGAAGCGCTAAGCCACAAGGGCTATACAGTGTCAAATTAGCAAAAATATTAGATTTTTCATGATCTTCCTGAGAACAGATAAGGCCCCCTTGGTCTGTTTTGCGGGTTTTTATGTCTAACTCGGTTAATGGGATCAATCATTCCTGGTTATATTTTTTTATTCAAGAAATAGGGTACAGTAAATCTCAGATTATTTGTAACGAGTACAAAATGGAGGGCAAGTGTAATATAGGATGGCTGCGGATGTGATTAATGAACAGAAGAAATGTTGCTTTAGTGCCTGGAGTGTCTATGTTGTTTATTTTGGAATTTTTTATAATATTTTAATTTTGTGTAAAATTGGCCTAATTACAGACTCCTGTGCACTTTATAGGGCAGTTCTAGTAGTTGAATGGGTGGTTTCTTATGCACAATTGTAGACTGGAAGGTATACTAGCAAAATAGCTAAGAATTTGGTCAAGCTGAGCAATGGAATTGGCTTAAAATAGAACTCAACAGGCAAAACTACCGATGGGTAAACTGAACAGATCGATTTGTGCCTGTGTAATTCTGTAAGCTATCTAATCTACTAAGAAAAATTACTAATCTATCTTACATTTTGTTAAGTCATTATATTGTTAACAGAAGCATTTCAAACCTGTGGGGAGGGTTAACATGGGACAACTGGGTAAGTTGGATGCAGGTTTTTCAGCTGAAACACTCATTACATCTCAACTTACATTAAGTCACATTTCCTAACCAAACTCTACCACACATAGCAGCTCCCAGCACCTACACCAAACAAACATATAAAACAGAACTCCCATATCCACAGATTTGGCTTCTGAGGTATCACTTATCCATAGTTTACAGTGGCCCTAAAATAACCCTTAATTTTGCTTAATGGTGCCAAAGCACAATAGTAGTAATGGTGGCACTTCTTCAAATCCTAAGAGAAGCCGTAGGTGCTTCCCATCAGTGTAAAAGTGCTAATTCTCCGCTTACTATGCGTAATTTATCAATTAAACTAACATAGGAATGTATATAAATGAAAAATGATATAAATATATAGGGCTTGCTACTATCCACGTAGGTCTTGGAACGTATCCCCCGTGGATATGGGGGGACTACTGTACCTTTAATTAATTTGAAAAATAACCTAGAAAATAAAGCAGGGGTAATAATAACAAACATTAAGAGGCTGTGTCAGGGAGAAGTGGGGAGAGCTACCAACTCTGGCTTTTGCTCTCAGCAGTAGTTTAGGACCGTGGGTTCTATGCTTAATTTTTCAATACGTATATAAATTGTCTGCATAACTTTAGGGACAGCAGCTGGCAGAAGATTTGCCAGTATATCTTCCTTCCTTTTATTAGCCAAATAAATACTATTGTGTGGAGGAATTTCTGAAAAAATGTCCATGTTTGGGCAGTCAGCTTGTGTTTTCTGAGCTCCAGTCGATTCCGACTGTACCTTCACAACACAAATTTCTCATATAAGCATTTATTCACTATTTATCAATTACTCATATTAAACAATTATTGAAATACAGCTAAGTAGGTTAGCTGTTGTTAAACACATGTAAATGTGAATATAAATTATAAAAATGGGTTACTAACGTTTGGCGTTAATTCAAATAAAATCTTTGTCTTCCACTGAACTTTTGTGAACTCTTTGTATTAATGCACTGAATACTGTACCCTCTTCAAACCTTTTCTACAGGTGTTTTATGTCAATTAAGTTGTATAAGTTCTGGAAAATGTTTACTGTCTAGTGGACATAACTTTTACTTGCTTAGCAGAATGGTAAAAGGCCAGAGAACACTTGTGACTTAGCCAGCAGACAAACAACTTACTGAGGTTGCTACCCAAAATTCAGTACTTTTTTTTTATTTATGATTCACTATCAAGGTTTTTAGTACCTGAAATTTTTGATGTATGGCAGCATACTCTTTCAATTATGTTTAGGCAAAATTGCATTGTGTGATATTTCTTCAAGAGTATTTACTATACGTCTTTTTATTATTAACACATCGGCCGTTCGGGTCACCCTTCCTTGGTGGGAAATAGCCGATGTGTTAATGATAAAAAAAAGTATAGTAAACCCTCTTAAAGAAATATCACAGAATACAATTTTGCATAAACATAATTTACTATACATGTATATAAAATACTTCAAGATTACAACTTTCAACATTAAAAAAAAAAAAAAAACAGTTAATCAGTTAACTTCAGAGCTTATCACCTTCACTAGTGATAAAGTAGATTTCTTACCTTACCGCAAGAGTTAGGGACACCAAGATAGTGTTTTTCATTGTTTCTCTCTGCTTGGTGGGCTACATTGACAGCAGCATCTGGAGTCAAGACATTCCAGAGACCATCAGTACCAAATATAAGACATCTATGACGGGTTATGTCAATTGGCATGACGCAGACATCAGGCTCAGGTGAAACTACAAACTGGTCATTCGTTGCATTGTAACTCCAAAGGTCCCCTGTTATAACAATTGATTTATACTTAAATCTTTTATGAAAAGGTATTTCATTATTGTCAAATATAAATTTACACCCCATCAGCTTCACAAACTATATACTACAAGCAGTTTCATAATGCTAAACTAAAACTCCAATGAGCATATTAAAGTTAAAGAAAAAAGCTTCATTGTCCATTGTTTGAATAGGAGACATACTCAACTTCAGTATTCTAAAACAATAGCAAACACCTGGGGCTCTAAACTCAGATACAGTGCAGTACTTGCATACAGCAAACAAATTGTTATAGTAATTACTATTCAACAAATGTTAGGATATTTATTGGTGGGAACAACAATGTACTAGAATTTTATCTGGGATAACTCAATGTTTTCAAGCTTTTCCTGAGTTTTACTGTATAAATCATCTCTATATATCTTGCAGTCAAATAAAGACAATAGACTTTTAACTTGCCTAAAGATCGGGCTACTGCTAAGAATGGAATTTCATCCATAGGTGTCGATCTACGAACAGGACCTTGGTGCCCAGACTTGGGTCTGTTCCATACAACACGTGGAACACCTGATTTGTTGATAACTTTCCCTCCACATTCTGTAATGCGTGTTTTCTCTAATACACTCTCTGGCTTGTGATCACGAGTCAAGGCTTCACCATGCCAGCTTCCATCTATAAAGAAAAATATGATTGCTGTAAGATAAAGGAAATCTTAAATTTGTACCAAAAGCATGAATAAGCTAACAAAAATCATTCTATTATTGATTTGTAAATCCATTCTTGAACTATTTAAGTGGTTCCAAAACAAAGTAATCCCCAGATGACTTTGTATCACAATGGTCAAAGCAACTAGATAACAAATAAAAGAATCTGGGCACTGAAAAACATTAGCAAATGCTCTTACACTTTAAACCTGGGTGTTAGTCTGCTACTGCGAATCACATTCTCATGCAGAAATAAGGATGTGGTCCTTATGAGGCCCCATAGGAAATGGTAAATCCCACAATGATTCTAATTTGTAAAAATGATTTGCCAGAAGGAATAAATTAAAATTAAGACATCAACTATATCTCACCAAGGCATGTGTGAGGAAAAAGCCTTTAAAAGGGGGGAGGGCTGTGGTTGTTCAGACTACAGGAAACCATTAACATGTTACCGCCTGCACTATCATCTATCGAACTGGGACTAAACTTGTTTCCTCAGGTCTGATTTGCTATAATTTCTTCTCCTGGTAGTATTAACTTTACCTGGTGTGAGTTAAAGTTTGGAGAATCACTTCACCTCCACTCTTCTCTTGATAAAGTAAGGTATTGTTATTCTTTGTTACTGATTTACCTGGGTACTAGTAATGACACTGAAAAAGAATATCACCCTTTGCTTTTCTTCAATGTTATACTTATTAACCCTTGTGTAACCAGTGTTGTTTTTTTATCAGCTCTGTTTCTGGCCTCGTCAACCTGGGTAGACACTAACATTGGAGCAAGATCCCTGTCTACAGGACAAAGTGGGACATTACAACTCCTCATCTCTTTGAAATCTGAAGTGTGGTACTATGACCAAGTAACAATAGGAATTCCAAAACATCGGACGAACACCGCCACCCAGGATAACCAACACCATTTCTTCTCAAACATCACAGAAGACCATCCTGGGCATAAGATACTCCTGTCTCAACATCCAACTGGAACCACAGCGGCCAATTTTTATTTTTAATTAAAATTCTTAGAAAATTATCATAGTTATTATCCATCATTTATTTTTCATACATCTGTTCAGGTGGAAGGCATTCCCCTGACAGCATGGCTACAAAAAAAATGACACATTCACCATCATTCATTCAGTAGCTCCACAGTAATTTTCCTTATGCAAGAAAGAAGTGCTAAAGACTTTTGCCCTGTACACTTACCGAATTTTATCATTCTTAGCACCATCTGCCGTCTGTCTTCTCATATGAAGTAGCTACAGTAATTCCAGATTGAAACTTGGGCAATGTATGATGGAAAGATGCTTCTTAATGCACACCAAAAATGAAAGAAATCTAAGAATAAATAATGGAGTTCACTTCTCAGCAATTAGCCACCCCTTAGCAGTATTCTTGTATGGTTTTTATGGTTGTATTCTAGTTTTTTGGTCTCATTTGATAGAATGGAAGATATATTACAGAAATAGATATGATTTTGACTCCTTTCACGACGAAAAGTACCTTGAAATTGATCTCAACGTAGGAGAAATGTTTGATTATTTTAGCTATGTTCAAGAGTAAACAAATGACGTCACTGTCCATTCCAATACGCAGTCATGAATGGGTTGGCATTTATACAATTATTGCAATAAGGCATAACAGTAAATCTTATATTTTTTTGTGTGAATAAAAATTACAAATTATTTACATTCTAATAATAATAATATGTATGATAATAATAGTATAATACAATAATAATAATAATAATACATAATAATAATGTACTACATAATAATTATAATAATACACGGCTTCAAAAGGCCATCACTAGATGGCAGTGTTTACCACAACAAAGAGGGAGCGGTTGTGGCCGCCTCCACCTGTTACATAATGACATATTTTATTCATTCTAGAGTATATATCAGGTTTCTATGTTATTTATATTGTTTATTATTTCGTATTAGATGAACTGTGATAGATAAATAAGCCATAGAGTTAATGATAGTGAGATATTCAAGGAGTATTTTGTCCTGTTTCCAAACAAACTCTCGTCGGCCGCTGCCACATACATGACATTTTATTCATTCTAGAGTATATATCAGGTTTCTATGTTATTTATATTGTTCGTTATGTCATATTAGATGAACTTTGATACATAAATAAGCCGTAGAGTTGATGATAGCGAGATATTCAAGGAGTATTTTGTCCTGCCTCCAAACTCTCGTCGGCCGCCGCTGCCACATATATAATGACATATTTTATTCATTCTAGAGTATGTATCAGGTTTCTATGTTATTTATATTGTTTATTATGTCATATTAGATGAAGTGAGATAGATAAATAAGCCGTAGAGTTGATATTAGCAAAATTATTGAAGTACAGAATTCCACTGGAATGGATTAATTGCATTTCAATTAATTTAAATTAGGAAAATTGACTCTGCAAACGAGCAAATCCGGTTGCGAGCAAGATCATGGAACGGATTAAACTTACAAGTAGAGGTTCCACTGAACTTCTGTTCATGACATCCTATAATATGCCATGACTTGTAACCCTTCAACGAAATACTGGCCTTCATGCTGGAGCCATACAACAGGCCAATAAAGGTTCTTCACAGATATTTTTTAACTACAATTAATTAACATTTAAAGCTTACTTCTGTACATTAAAGTTTCCTTTACTTTATAAACTTGATCATGCCCCATGTGTGTGGAGTTTTCCAACAGATCCATCCTCAGTCTGGTTGAGTGTATGACCAACTCAAGATAATTTCCATTCTGGGTTCCCAAAGGCAAGCTAGGATTTAGTGCAATTTGCCTTTCCAGTGCAATTAAGTTTCATGTCTATGTTTATGGCATCCTGTCTTATTTAATATGATTATTTAAATGTTTAAATTTTAAATGCATGTAGCAATTACTACTGGTACTTCCTCCTCACAAATATGTGATTAAAACAATGTGTGGTTTTCAGAATTTTTTCTTAAATTTATATCTACGGGTTCTCGTTATCCTTGTTGAAAGTCTTAAATAAGCTTATCTGTTCTTTCATATTCTTTTAAACCTTATAGGTTATCATATCAACCTTTTTCCTAACAGCCAGTGATTCCAGCTTTTCATTACAATCACATCTAACTCTAGAATTCATTTTGTGGTTCCTCTCTCCTTTGGAGTTTGCTATCTGATCCACATGCTTTTTAAGGTGTGGACACCTCCCACCAGTTACATGGGCTTAATTAATGTAAGTTCTATACAATTTTTTATCAAATAATAAAACATGTGGTTTGAAAAGTACTACGACTTACTTGTAGCTTCACATCCAAGGACAATTCCCGAATCTCCCACATGGCCAATATATATTTTCTGCCTGCGAATGAAAGCTACACTTGCTGTTGTTCCACTTGTGCTTGGCCAACCTGAAGCAGTTCTTGGCCACTGATCTGAAATAACAAATGTCAGGTTAATTATTACTAGTATATTTAAGGTAAAATTTGTGGGGGTCATACAGCATCTGCAGAATGGGAGGCAATCAAGTTCAATTCCTTGGAACAAAAGTCCTTCACCAGTATTAAGTAACCTCCCTAGAGGGGTTCAGGGGGTGGAAACACAATGAACCCTTTTCAGACAATTTAAATGAGAAAAGAAGAGAAATTGGGAATGGCATTCCACCTAGGGGAAACATGTAAGATTAACAGGTTGCCAGAGACTATTATAAATTTAATACCCAATATTATCAGTAAAAATATGAAAAAACAGTAGCAAAGAATTTTACCCTAACAAAATTTTTACAGAACGCTTTCAAGTTTTATGACGTGCTATGCAAATCTACGTTGCAATTTTTCAAGTTATCACAAAAAAAAGTTCGCATTTGTTTTATTTGATGGTCTACCTTATGTGATTAATTAATCTTTACCATACCAGCCAAATGGAAAGCAAAGTATGCAGGCAGGTTAGTGAAAATGATATTCAATACCTGGGAAGAGCAAAACAGATGCCATGAAACAAAGGTTGTCATTTACCTAACTGGTGTACTTCTGTGGTATTCGGAGAAGTCACAGATTACAAATTACAGACATCAGGTGGAAAGTTTAGTAACTTGTTACTCAACATTATTTACTCGAGGTTAATTTTTTGTTTGCTGATAATTTTACTAAATTTATGTACGCGAGGACTTTTCACGAACTGAAAATTATCAGGCTGACTGGCAAAGTCACCAACAAATCCTTATATATGGCATTCATTCATTAGTGACACGTTTATAGAAAGGTTTTTAACCCTTTGAGGGTCGCCAGGCCCTCTCAGAGACTTGTTCTCAGGGTCGCAAAAAAAAAAAAAAAAAATTTTATGAAAAGATAGAGAATCTTTTCCCAATCATAATGACACCAAAAGTATGAAATTTGATGGAAAACTTACAGAATTAGGCTCTCACGAAGTTAGCGGTCTCGACGATGTTTACACATCAGCGATTTTGCCCACTTTGAGCCCTATTTTCGGCCAATTCCAGTGTACTAGTTGGCAAAAATCATACCTATTTCGCTAGAACTCCATTTTTTCTATCGAATGAGTACAAGAAACCACCCATTTACCGATTTCAACTATCAAATAAAGTGGTCAGAATTTAGCAATTTTGCCAATTTCACACAAATTTCAAAAGATGCCAATTTTCAAATAGGGTCCAGAATAAACAGACATTCCTGGCACTAAAATAACATTTCCTCTGTTCATTAGTCACGTCCCCAGGCCCCTCTTACATTTCTTTTGCTTTCCACTTTGATTTTTTTATTCTCACAAAAATAACAAGATTTACTGTTATGCAGACTACTGCATTAGTGTAGAAATGGTATAAATAATATTGGCGCACTTGTGAAAGAATATTAGACTCGCCAGTTGACGTGTATTGGACGCTTGGCATGATTTGTTTACTTTTGAACTTTGGTAAAAATCGAACATTTCTGCTATTTTGAACTCAATTTCAAGGTACTTTTCATTGTAAAACCAGTCAAAATCATCTCAATTTCTGTAATATGTCTTCCATTCTATACAATGAGACCAGGAAAACTAGAATACAATAAATACCCTACGAAAATACTGTGCAAAGTCGCTGTTTTAAACCAAAAACACAGACAAAGCTTTTTTTTCTTATTATGCACTGTGCTGCAGGACTTTTTTTTTACTGCGCACTGACCACACAGACCCATTCTTTCATATGTAGGCCTACCAGCTTTCTCTTGCTAGATTTGAGGGCGCTAGAATTTATGCGTACTAGTACGTCAAAAACCCTGGCTCGTAAGCCGTAATAGTACGGCTGAAACCCCGAAAGGGTTACAATCGTTGCTGAATGCAATATGAACCCAACTTAACCTAACCTTCCCCAGTGAAGCATGGGTGGGAGAAAAGAAATTTTGAAATACATACTAAACTAGGTATTATTATTTTCACATTCAAGTTCACAGTATCTGCCCTGCAGCCATGTAATGTATAATTTCTTTAAAGTAATTAAATGGCAATTAGGTAGTGACCAGTCTGTAAGTTGTATAAACCTATAAAAGTGTACATATAAGAAAGCTATAGTATCTGTGATCTGAAAGATGTTCCCAAGCCAAAAGTTTCCAATATTTTCCTACAGGTAAAATTCTCCCATATGTAAATTAATTAGATTATTGGCAAGGATTAACCTAATATAAAATATCCTTGAATAAATCTAAATTATGCTGGATAACTCATTGTTATATGTCATCAAGTCATTGAGCCTGATGCTGAAATAACTGCTGACATCAGTGACTTGGATGTTCAAAGAATTCATTGGATATCATTAACTATAAATATTGCTGTACTGAAATAGAAAAACCCAATAAGTCTGGCAAAGGGATTCAGTATCTCTTTATGGTTGATCACCCAATTACCAGTCAAATAGTCTTGATCATTCAAAGCAAAAGTTTTATGCCTAAAAGATTAGGAAAAAATATTCTTATACACTAAATTAAAAATAATTCAAACAACTTCAACACACTTTATAAAATCATAAGGTAGGTAAAAACAGAAAGTAACAAAAAACACTAAATGTGACAAACTCAAAAGAAACAAATTTCTGGAAATTAACAATGATGGACAGCTATGCAAATGGAATATCAGCAATCTCACCAAAGTTCTTATGCCAACAATCAGTCATGACAAGTCTGATACCTTCCTACAACCAGTCCTCCTCTCACATACAAATTAAATAAAACTATCAGCAAGCACAAACCTAATATAACATAAGATAAACTTTAAATATCTAAATTACCAACATCAGCAGGCCTGATGCTTGCTGATGCTGGTAATTTAGATATTCAGTGACTTTCTTGGATATCATTTAAATGTAGTCAAGAAGGCTCTTTTGATTCTTAATCCTTAAATGGTCCAAACGTATATATACGTTTTTTCAACATCTGAAAGTATGTAAAAAAATGTAGATCTTTTTTGTTTTACATTTGAAAACATGTAAAAAAACTTTTATCTACATTTTTTTTTTGTTATATTTGAAAATATGTAAAAAAAAAAAGTAGATCTACTTTTGGAGCACTACGAATTTAAACGTCGATCTGTTTGGACCGTTTAAGGGTTAATCCTTGATAACATGAGAAAGCCAAGCAAGAGCTGTCACTGAGGTTCTTTTGGATTTGGATAAGCAGGTTGCACTAGATCTACGTAAATTTACATTGAATTCAGGTTTTTTTTGCGCCAATATTTTTGAGGTAGTTGACAGATACGAAATTAGTGTATTTTAGGGTCTTATATTCGCATGGAGCTTCTACTGGTGTGGATCGCATCCTGGGGGACAAGCTTGAGGACCCCAATGGAAATAAGATGTATGCTCCTTCAATGATGCACTACCTTTCTTGGGTGGCTAACCCTCCAGGGTTAAATATCCAAACAAAATCTTATTTTACTCAAGTTTAATCATGCACGTGGCATCTCAGATGTTTTTTCTCGTATTGTGTTCGTACACTGTGTTGCAGCTCTGAGAAGTGTTAGGACATTAATATTTGCACTGCATGTAATGTAGTACGTATGCGGGGATATTTTGTACGAGTAAATTTAAAAGTTAATAAGGAATCTGTATCCTACAAAATATAATACTACAGTACTATTATATTTTGTTATACATTTCTGTATTATATATTTTTATACCATTATAATGCATTGTTAATATTATATATTTTCTATTATGAATTACATTTTATAATTACATTTTACATTATTTTATAATTACATTTTACATTATTTTAAAATTACATTATTTTACAATCACATTTATAATTAATTATATATTAAATTTATTATAGTGGGCATTTTGCTGAATTGAGTGAGATTTAGATGTTCCAGCAATTAATTTTTATAAATACATGTTATAAGTTAGAATATATATTATTTATATTAAGGGAAAGTGCAATAAATAACAATAAAGGACAATAGTGACTGGAAGTACAATACCGATAAAGCAGAAGCTACGCGACTTTCGTCCGATTGGCCAATTGACTAAGTCCCTTTGTGATTTGTAATGTCAATCGGAGTAACGTGTTCGTAACTTCTGTTATTTATGTGGGGTATTGTGAAAGTGCTAAACCCGTAGGATTATAGTCTATAACTTAAGAATAAACTAGTACAATAAACGGTCTTAAGCTCTGTAATGGAAGCGAATATTAAATTTAACTTTGCTGACAAGGTGTATACTTAAGAATTTTCCCTCGTCGCCTTCCACTGCATTATTTTCCTTTTTATGCTCAAACTGATATTTTTTTTTTCAGCTTCACTGGGTGAATATTATATAGTTGTTGTGGATTTTGTTTACGCTGCCATCAACTCACCCAACACCTTCCACATGGCCATGTGAGTCCTGAGGAAGCCTTCCTTGATGGCAGACAACACCTCCTCGTCGTGGTCAGACCAAAACGTCCTCAAGCTGACGATATTATCCATCAAATTATCCTTGGCGAAATGCGCTGCCTCTTTCCCGCCATGGCCATCGAAAATCCCAAAGAAGGCGTACTCGATGTCCTTCTTGTCATGCGTCCTCTGGTACGCCACCTGAAGCTCATCTTCCATGTACTTCCTGTCACCTTGGTGTAAATACGCTGAGGCACGGAGGTTGACACCGACACGGCTGGCACTGGGCATGGCTCATACACTTCACAACTACGTCCTGCCTCGGCACCATAACACAAACCGTTTGAGGTTTCGAATGTGATTGGTGGAGCCGCCCGTGACGTCACGCCCTGGCGTTCCACTACTCTCCGTCTCTCTAGCGCCCCGAACGCGCGCTAGTAATCAATCGTTTTGCCTATTATTATTTTTTTTAGGTGGGGGGGGGGGGAAAGATGAGTATGATATCGTGTATATACATGTGGTTAAATGCGACATTCGCCCCGTGGTATTCATGCGATGACTAACTCAGTAAGTTGGTTAAAGGTAATGTGAGTCAGGCAACTTTCACTCCAGGAAAAACACAGGCTTTGACATGCTCATGGGCACATGTCATCATTGATAGGAGGAACGTGTTATATCTTGGCAGTTTAACGACATTTGAACGTTGTATGTTATATCGTCTATGAAATAAATTGCACACTAGGGTCATCGGAACAAATACAGTACATGGGAAAGCTCGAAGAGTGAGTTGAACAGATACATGTGTAAAAAAGTATGGGTGCCAGTTAAACCTGACTGGTCAAGAGCCAGTAACTATACATAAGAACGTAAGAAAGAAGGAACACTGCAGCAGGCCTACTGGCCCGTGTGAGGCAGGTCCAAGTCCCCCACCAGCCTAAGCCAATGCCCCAACTTAGGTTACGTCACATTCACTTAAAGAAGGAGGAGCACGGCATCTGTTTGACCTAGTAGCACAAGCTAGTCAGGTCCAACTCACACCCACTCACGTATTTATGTAACGTATTTTTAAAACTATATAACGTTTCAGCCCTATTTTTAAAACTACACGTTTTAGCCTCAATAACTGTACTCGGGAGTTTGTTCCACTCATCCACAACTCTATTACCAAACCAATGCTTTCTTATATCCTTCCTGAATCTGAATTTATCCAACTTAAAACCATTGCTGCGAGTCCTGTCTATGCTAGATACCCAGCTACGAAGATGTCTTGATGCTGTTGAAGGGCTCTTAATCCAAGGAATAGAAGCTACCCTTTCTCTTCTTGCCTCTTATTTCCCTAGCACTACTACCCCTACGTGTTTAGGCCTCCCCGCATCAATATAATAGAACAACAGTCAATGGACTGCATTTCTGTGTGACCCTTGTAAGTCAAACGCTTGCTTATTTTATTATAATACGTAATAATAAATGGACTGATTCCTATATCAGAAATCTATCTTACGAAGACAGGTTGAAGGCGCTGAATTTGCACTCTCTGGAAAGACTTAAAATTATGGGGATATAAATAATAATATGAAAATATCCAATCAAGGAAAGGCTTGACAAAGCTCCTTGAGAGTGAAACGTTGCTACAATAGGAACATAAGAACATGTATAACCCTTGCGGGATTAGCGCCTCTCTGCCCACACTTCCGTTGAATATAATAATAATAATAATAATAATAATAATAATAATAATAATAATAATAATAATAATAATAATAATTTATCAGTAGTTGTACACATTTCACGTGTTATAAATTATAATACTGCATTAAGACACTAACAAGAGCTTTATTATACTCTAAAATTAAATCTGAATGACACCATTGAACAGAAGCAGAGCAAAAGAATTAGACACATGTACAACATCTGGGTATTTTTATTTGTAGACGTTTCGCCTGTTCCTATGAACGGGATATTTGTGTAGTGTACACTGAGACAGTAAATCAGTGTACACTATCATGGTACAGTATTGTACAGTCATGGTAAATTGTACAGTATTGTACACTGTCATGGAGAGGGTTCCGGGGGTCAACGCCCCCGCTGCCCGGACTGTGACTGCCAGGGTAAACTATTGTACACTGTCATGGTGAATTAGTGTACATAGTGAGTTAGTGTACTGTACACTCACGTAGTAAATAGTGTACGCTGACATGGTACTACCGTCAAGGTAGAGACTGGGGTAAGTTACTGACAAGTTCAAACAAAACTGAACAGGGAGAAGCATGATAACTCACATTTGAACTTGTCTAGCAGGTAGGGGACACCTGTATGTCTGGTGAAGCAGGAAGGTTAAACATATATACACACACATGCTAGAACTAGCTACACCTGTCCAAGTTTACAGTTACTGCAGTACTCTGTTTTTATGTACATTGTATGTTTTAAGACTATATTCATACATAAATATTGTCAACATTACCGACCTTATTACTTCCTCGTTTTCAGTATTAAAAGACACAAAAATTATTGTTAGAAATAGGACCTAGGAATGTGTGTATGGTATAGATTCATGTACACAATGTGCAGCGCTGAATGACCCACACTGGTTTAGCACTTTCAGTGAGACTGTAACTATAATACAAATTCTAAAATAACTATGATAATATACAGAAATAATTTAGACATTATGTGACTATAAATGTTCACACATTTTCTATCTAAACTCATTGTACTACATTTATATATAAAAATTCGTTGCTATATTTTTTAATGCCACTCTTCGGGATAGACCCGCCTTAGGGATGGTCTAATTGTTGTATACAAATTAGCTGCAGATTTGACAAACCAAAGTTTTAGAGATGTTGCATTAGCTGCTGGAATACTTTAACACTTAATATAAGTAATACTGAAAAACAAGATCCCTGAAGAAGGCGCCTTAATGCCTGTAAGGAGCTCTTGATCCAAGGAATTGGACTTTGCGGTGTGGCGTCACCGTTGCTTGTAAACATGTGCTTATATTAACAGTGAATAGTAATGTAATATTTTAGTTATTAATTATTTTATTTCTTAGCTCTGGGGATGTTTTATGGTTATCTACGGTATTATGTAATTTTCATCCCTCTAGGAGATTTTTTTATGGTGCTGAGGAGCTTTTCATCCTCCCTTACCTTGGATTAAACTTGATGCCTCCTGTTTCCCAGCCGCTGTGACGCCCCTTCGGGTTCAGTGCTTCCCCTCTAAATATAATAATGATAATTTCTGTAGTTCTTGGTTATAATAATCGTATAGTAGAGAGGGGCGAGGGATATATGAAAGCGGCGATTTGGACCTGCCTCGCATGGGCCAGTAGGCCTGCTGCAGTGCTCCTTTCTTATGTTAAGCTAGAGGTACATGACTTGTGGGAGTGGATGGAGAGACAGTGTTGATGCAGTATTGTAACACATACAGTGAGAGGTTATACACTAGTGACTAGTATATGCCAACAGCAGACGTACAATGAGGAAAGAGGTGATGAATTGGAAACTAGTAACCGGATCATCGTGGTTAGGTTAGGTAATTTTTGTCAGGAAACAGGACAAGCGTTTCCCGGCGCGGGTCTTAGTCATCTGCCGACCCGCAGCTGGAGTTTTTGGTTACCTGACCGAGGCCTTCCACTGGCTTACCGGTCCACCCCTTAAAAAATTATGGTTATGATTATAATTAAATAACTCGTTGGATTCTTGTGGCTCAGTTGGTAGCTGTTTTAGCTCACCAATTGAGGGACTGAAGTTCGATCGTCGAATAGAAATGCTGAGCATATTTCCTACACCGAAATACTCTGCATAACAAGGGACTTTCTATAAAGCAGTTCATACATGTCAGTTTCTCGAATGTCAATTGTATACTGTATTACCTGGAGTTTACCTGGAGAGAGTTCCGGGGGTCAACGCCCCCGCGGCCCGGTCTGTGACCAGGCCTCCTGGTGGATCAGAGCCTGATCAACCAGGCTGTTGCTGCTGGCTGCACGCAAGCCAACGTACGAGCCACAGCCCGGCTGGTCAGGAACCGACTTTAGGTGCTTGTCCAGTGCCAGCTTGAAGACTGCCAGGGGTCTGTTGGTAATCCCCCTTATGTATGCTGGGAGGCAGTTGAACAGTCTCGGGCCCCTGACACTTATTGTATGGTCTCTTAACGTGCTAGTGACACCCCTGCTTTTCATTGGGGGGATGTTGCATCGTCTGCCAAGTCTTTTGCTTTCGTACTGAGTGATTTTCGTGTGCAAGTTCGGTACTAGTCCCTCTAGGATTTTCCAGGTGTATATAATCATGTATCTCTCCCGCCTGCGTTCCAGGGAATACAGGTTTAGGAACCTCAAGCGCTCCCAGTAATTGAGGTGTTTTATCTCCGTTATGCGCGCCGTGAAGGTTCTCTGTACATTTTCTAGGTCAGCAATTTCACCTGCCTTGAAAGGTGCTGTTAGTGTGCAGCAATTTTCCAGCCTAGATAGAACAAGTGACCTGAAGAGTGTCATCATGGGCTTGGCCTCCCTAGTTTTGAAGGTTCTCATTATCCATCCTGTCATTTTTCTAGCAGATGCGATTGATGTAATGTTATGGTCCTTGAAGGTGAGATCCTCCGACATGATCACTACCAGGTCTTTGACGTTGGTGTTTCGCTCTATTTTGTGGCCAGAATTTGTTTTGTACTCTGATGAAGATTTAATTTCCTCGTGTTTACCATATCTGAGTAATTGAAATTTCTCATCGTTGAACTTCATATTGTTTTCTGCAGCCCACTGAAATATTTGGTTGATGTCCGCCTGGAGCCTTGCAGTGTCTGCAATGGAAGACACTGTCATGCAGATTCGGGTGTCATCTGCAAAGGAAGACACGGTGCTGTGGCTGACATCCTTGTCTATGTCGTGACGAACTCTAGCTCAAGTCCCTTCACTGCCGTCAACATGACTCAAGAAATCGTAATGACACGATTGCAAATAAACCATACCCCCGGCCGGGATGGAACCCGCGGTCATAGAGTCTCAAAACTCCAGCCCGTCGTGTTAGCCACTAGACCAGCTAGCCACAATAAGATTCATCCAACTAGGTATATTTCTACACCATAGGAAAGTTAGCACAGGCACCTCTGTGACCACAAATGCAAGTTTTTACAGACGAATCTCCAGCTAGCGTGGCCGTGACGGCAGTGAAGAGACTTGAGCTAGAGTTCGTCACGGCCACGCTAGCTGGAGATTCGTCTGTAAAAACTTGCATTTGTGGTCACAGAGGTGCCTGTGCTAACTTTCCTATGGTGTAGAAATATACCTAGTTGGATGAATCTTATTGTGGCTAGCTGGTCTAGTGGCTAACGCGACGGGCTGGAGTTTTGAGACTCTATGACCGCGGG